TGTGCGGTCCAAGAAGGAAGAAGGCGGCCATAGCGGCGGAGCTCGGACACGGAGGAAGAACAAAGAAGACGAGTGAAGGAGGAGGGAGAGACGAAAGAGAAGAGAGAAGCCATAGCTGAAGAAGAGGAAGGAGGGATGACAAAGGAGAAAAGGGAAGGCATAGCCGGGGTGAAAGAAGAACCAGGCGAGGAAGGAGAAAGAAAGGAGGAAGAAGAAGAAGGGTGGTGAGGAAGAAGAAGGCGGCAGCCATAGCCGAGTTGAAGGTTGACCAGGGGGTTGACCGAAGTTGGCTTGGGTGTTGACCAAGGCGTTGACCACGGTCGACTGGAGCGTTGACCGTCGGGTTGACCAGCGCGTTGACCAAGGCATTGACCAGGGCTGTTGACCGCGACTTTGACCAAGCTGGAGTTGGTATATTCTCGCCAAGCCCTTAGCCTATCCCCTCGCCCTATGGATGTGCACTCACCCTATGGTACTTGCTGAGTCTGTCTGTCTCTTCTTTCTGCATTGAGTCTCTTATGTCCAAGTGCTAGGAACTCCGTGTATGAAGGATAGAGCCTTGTTGACCAAACCCACACGAGCTGAGTAGGGCTAAAGGCCGTGTCTGACGACTCGACTGTCCCGGAGGACACGAACCCTCCCAAGGACCGGTACTGACCGGCGGGCTGCTCAGTGTGGCACGATAGGCGCAAAATCCGAGCTGTGGGCTGCACAACAGGTTGTCTAAGTCTTGAGAGGACTTGCTGATCGCGTCGTCCTGTCTGCGACGTTAAATAATTCCTGAGGAGTTACGGGGGATCTCCTTAAATGCCTCCTGATCAGCAACAAGTCCTGTAGTGACAGCCTTAGTTTAGGTACCATAGCTGACAGGGTCCTATTAGGATTATGTGGTCCTTAGATTGAGTCAGTCTTAGGTTGTGTCAGTCAGGGGGTAGAAGTCTAAGTGGTGAGGAGTGGAACTGTTGTCCAGTTGTGCACCTGACACCATGGTTGACATTCGTAGTGGGAAGAGCACCATGCCCTATAGTAAGGCTCAAGAAGAGCAAACCGCCGCCATCCTGAGGGAGAGGAAAGAGAAGAAGGAGCTCCTTAGACAGGCGAAGATAAAGATAATAGCAGAGGAGCAGGCGGCGAAGAAAAAGAAGCTGGAGGAGGAGATGAAAAGGTTGCAGCAAGAAGAGGAGGAGAGAATGAGGGCTGCAGTAGAGGAAGAGGTTGAAGAGGAGGAGGAGCAGCCAGAAGAAGAGCCCCTCAGAAGAAGAAGATTGGGGGAAGGAGGAGAGAGCAGTGGCACGAAGGAAGATGACCCGTGGGTAGAAAAGAAGATATCCGAATGGGTGGCTAATTTATAATTGGGAGAAGATGAGGAGGCAATGTTATACATATCTCAGGAGGAGAAGGAACCAGCAATTAAGGAGATCGAGGCGACGAGTGATCCCTTAGAACGCCAGGCCATAGAGAATGAGAAGAGGGTGGACTGGAAGTTACGCCTGGCGAGAGAGAAGAAGAGGAGGACGGAGGAAGCCAACCAATGGCCAGAGAAGTGGAGAGCTTATAGACATGTAGGCAGGAAGTAGAGGCCCAGCCTGATATTCAGGCTAAGTTAGGCAGGATCCTAAGGAGCATCGAACTCCTAGGTAGGGTCTGAACTGAGCACCATCAATCTGTTAGGGGCCACGAAATGGCCCTCCACTCCATCCGGTCCGGTTTCAGGGAATTCGCGCGCGATGTAATGACCCATGTAGGGACCGAAGTTAGGAAGCTAAAGGAGGGCGCAGAGAAATTCTGCGCAGGCGCCATCGAGGGCGCCAAAGTAATGGCCGCTGCAGAGATCGAAGGGCGTCCCCGCAAAGAGCCTGTTAAGCTTAAGTTCCCTTATTCTTATGGGTGGGAAGAAGGACGAGAACTTCGATAATTGGGAGGCTAGTATTAACACGTACGTGTATCTCCAGCACATTGCGCCTGAGGAGCAAGTCCTCGTAGCCTTCCATGATTTAAAGGATGAAGCGGCCAGCTTTGCCAGGTCCCTCGCGCGAGCAGCCGATTGTGAACACAATATGGTTGCGTATTCCAAACTCACCCCTCTTCACCAATTCCTCAAACTCCTCAGGCAGAGATTTGCTGACGTCATGCGAGGCGTCAAGGCATTAGATAAACTGCAAACAATCCACTCGCGGCAGTGGAAGAGTGCAAGGGCACTCAAGGCAGTTATGGATGATCTGGTAGCCATCCCAGACCACGGGGTCACTGAGACTCGGTTAGTTAATTTATTTTATCGTGCCATGACAGAGCCCTTACGAGGGCATTTCTTTGAAAAAACCCAACAGGCCACTACCACGTACAACGCGCTAAGTAGGGAAGTGGTCCTGTTTGAGGCCAAATCCATGCGAGTGTCCACTTTCTGGCACAAGGATTTAGATTAGGGGAAAAAGTGGAAGGGTCGGACCATCTCGGGTCAGGTCAGGGCAAGGGATTACCTGATCCTTACTTTAGATGAGGGTGGTACTGACGAAGTCCCCTACAGTCAGATAGAGTGGGGGTTGGCGGAGGAAGATAGTAGTGTAGGCCAGGGGAGGACTTACGCTGCTGTCGCGATTGGAGGGAGGCCGCAAGGTAGAGGAGGAGGCCAGGGCCAAGGGG